AGACTACATTGTTGATCAGCCTACCTTTGGGTCTCTTCTCAGTCCTCCCCTTGCACTTTCCCTTACTCAGCCTGACTACAGGGAGACAGAGGAGAAAGGTCTGTCTCCGTCTGGACATCCAATCCTATAGGGGCTGTCAGTTACTGTGGGCATGCATATAGAGTCACAGTCCTCTCTGATACCATCCTGAGACCTCAGGAACCCATGCAATTGTTTAACTACGTACTTCAACTTTAAACATATGAAAGAAAAAAAAACTTATCCCACTACTCTAATATATTGCTTTTTTTAAGTTTCTGCATGTCCACTATTACCTCCCAAACTCTTCGATGTGTACGTATTCTTATACAGATTTCTAACAAATGTGTGATCATAATTCTTCTATTTTGTGAGATATATATATATATATATATATATATATATATATATATATGAGAGAGAGAATTTTTCTACATAGTCATTTATCATTTAAGTGACAGGTATACCAAAAATAAATGTGTCACTCAAGTTTATTTCTTACAATGTGGGCAGTGGAATTAACTGGAGTCTTCACTTGAGGGGCTTAGAACTTAAACACTTCTGTGGTACTAGAGTATTTGGACATACAAAGTAAAAGGCTTCTTAAAGGGCAGTACAAGACATCCTTGTGAGGGAACTGTTCTGTGTCTTGATTATGGTAGTGATTACACAAATCTATGCATAGAATAAAATGGCATAGAACTAAACACATAGGCACACACAAATGAGTGCATGTGAGACTTATGAAATCTGAATAAGATCCATGGATTGTATCATTGTCAATTTCCTGGTTATGCTGTTATACTATAGTTAAGCAAGACCTTACCATTGAGGGAAACTGGTTAAGGACAGTAAGAGTCAAGACATAGAGATGGGACAGTGTGAGGCAGGTTCAAGAAATGTTGAATATGCCTCTAGCTAGAGGGGGGAGGAGGAGGCAGAGCTGGAAAGGCGGATGGAACCAGATGGGGAGGGCCTTGAAAGTTATGCCAGGGGGCCCCAGACTACTTTACCTGGTGGCCTAGGGATTGTTTTTCCAAACCACAGATTAAGAATCATGTCCTCTCCATAGATCTCTCTGTATTGGTTATTATGACTGTACAGGAACTTACAGTGATCTTAAAAAGTTAATTAAAATTTTTTAAAATGAAAGATTTCTTATAAGGAAGCTTTGAAATCCTTGTGAGATACTCAGTAATATATTAAACATAGTTCATTTTTTTCCTTCCTCATCTTAAAGAATAACCCTCTCTCAAAAAAAATTTAAAGGAAAAAAATGTTAAGGGAAAAATGATAGTGCTAATTTATTTCTAAATAGTTTGTACTTTGATACTCATTTGATGTCTTCAGAAAGCCATTTGCAAAGAGAGCCCCTTGTGTAGTGCAAAAAAGACGACAGGAACACATCAGCGAGGAAAGGAAAACCCCTTGAAGGGCAAATGCTTCTCAGTGGTTCAGAATTCTCTAGGAGGTCAATGGCAGACTTTTCTTTTTTTAAATATGTTTTACTGAGTTTTTAGAGGAAGGGGGAGGGATAGAGAGTTAGAAACATCTATGCAAGAGAAACATTGATGCAAGAGAAACATGATCAGCTGCCTCCTGCACACCTCCTACTGGGGATGTGCCTGCAACCGAGGTACATGCCCTTGGCCAGAATCGAACCTGGGACCTTTCAGCCTGCAGGCTGACACTCTAACCAATGAGCAAAACCGGTTAGGACCAGACTTTTCATTAGTGTCATTTCTTTCTTTCTTTCTTTTTTTTTTTTTAAATATATTTTATTGATTTTTTACAGAGAGAAAGGGAGAGAGATAGTTAGAAACATCGATGAGAGAGAAACATCGATCAGCTGCCTCCTGCACATCTCCTACTGGGGATGTGCCCGCAACCCAGGTACATGCCCTTGACCGGAATCGAACCTGGGACCTTTCATTCCGCAGGCCGACGCTCTATCCACGCCAAACCGGTTTCGGCAGATTAGTGTCATTTCTTTTCCTGGTTTTAAGCCTGCTATTACTTCCCTCTGACCAGTGGCTTTCAACTTTATTTTTTATTACAACCCTTAGTAAGAAATACCTTTTACATCAAAATCTAGGAAGGGAGGGTGGGAAGGAGAAAGATTTAGATACCTATATCTGTATCTATATCTGAAACAAAACACATTTCACCCTCATGTGTGCTACACTCTGACATTTTCTTTCTATTCTTAATGTTTTTCAGTGCGGATTATGGCTTAGTAATTTGAGTTCATGATTCTTGATCTGTGGTTTGGAAAAACAATCCCTAGGCCACCAGGTAAAGTAGCCTGGAGCCCCCTGGCATAACTTTCAAGGCCCTCCCCATCTGGTTCCATCCGCCTTTCCAGCTCTGCCTCCTCCTCCCCCCTCTAGCTAGAGGCATATTCAACATTTCTTGAACCTGCCTCACACTGTCCCATTTCTATGTCTTGACTCTTACTGTCCTCTCCCTAGTACCTTTCCCCCTTTCTTCCTGTTCTTTCTTGAGTCTTGGCTCCTATAGTCAAGCATATATTGTCCATTGTGCCATTAGCATGTCCTACCTGTCACTCCTCAGAAATTGCCCGTGAGGTCAGGCATGTGTCCTAGTTGTCCCCAGTTCAAAAGTTACTCCTGTGAATTCTTCCCTGACTTCTGGGTATACTTGGCCAGTGTTTTTCATTTTTTTTCCATCAAGAGTATAATAAGAAATATATTTTATATTGAATCTGGTATATACACTTGCTGTATACAGTATATTTGTATGAAACAGAAACAAAAGTTTATCACATAATGCTATGTGCACTTGAATATTTTATATTCTTTTAGTTTTTTTTCTTATTCAACCTATAACTTGATTTCAAAACCACAAATTGAGAAACATTGATTTAAGCCATTCTTCCCCACTCTGTCATCTGCAGAGAGTTCTGTTATAAACCTTTACTTTCCATAATCACTGTTAGAAGGAAGTCTGTAGTGCTTCAAGACTTGCAAACAGGACCATGAAGTTAAAATTAAAAAACTACACACACGCGTACACACACACACACACACACACACACACACACACACACACACACACACTGAGTGGCCAGATTATTATGACCACTCCATCAGTACTTTGTTGGGCCACCTTTTGCCTTCAATACTGCGGCGACTTTTCTTGGCACTGACTCCACGAGATGTTGAAAGGTGATGCGAGGAATCTGACACCATGCCTGATGAATAGCACTGTCCAGTTCTGTGAGATTTGATGGTTGTGGAACCAGCTGCCTGATGGCTCTTTTAACTTCGTCCCACAAATGCTCAATTGGATTGAGATCTGGTGATTGTGGGGGCCACCTAAGCAAGGTAAAGTCTCCCTCATGTTCTTGAGACCACTCCTGCACAATACGAGCACCGTGGCATGGCGCATTGTCTTGTTGGAAGAAGCCATCTCCATTGGGATACGCCATCAACATGATAGGATGAACTTGATCAGCAACGATATTTAGGTATGTTGTGCTGTTCAGACATTTATAATGATCTGGCGCTCTAGCAACTTCAGCGGGAAATTATAGCTAATTTGCCTACAAACATCAGGTAGTCATAATAATCTGGCCACTCAGTGTGTGTGTGAGTGTGTGTGTATATATATATGAAACCAAACATACACATTTTAGCATAGAAACCTTAAAATAATAATGCTTATTAGAAAAGCAAGTTATAAAATGATACTCATGGTATATTATCATTAAGGTACATTAAATATACATAAAACTACTCTATGTTGTTTGTGGATACACACATATCTATACTGATTTGAGTGAGAGACACCAACTTCACATTCTTGCTTCTTGATAAAAAGGGAGAAGAAATAGGATTGGTGGTGGGTTTTGTTGATGCCGTATAAATTTTGCTTTTAACACTGAAATGAGAAGCAAACATGCTGAATTGTTAACATTTGCTAAATCTAGGTGGTGGATATATTTATATTATATTAATTATATTATAGTATACTGTCTTATACTAGAGGCTCAGTGCATGAAATTCATGCACAGGGGTGGGCGTTTCCTCAGCCCGGCCTGCACCCTCTTGCAACCCGGGATCCCTTGGGGGATGTCCGGCAGTCAGACATCCCTTTCGCAATCCAGGACCTCTGGCTCCTAACCACTTGCCTGTCTGCCTGCTTGATTGCCCCTCACCGCTCTGCCTGCCTGCCTCATTGCCCCTAACCACTCGCCTGCCTGCCTCAGCGCTCCTAACTGATCCCCTGCCTGCCTGATCACCTGAACCACTTGCCTGCCTGCCTGACCACCCCTAACCACCTCTGCCTTGCCCCCGCTGCCGCAGCTTTGTCCGGAAAGTCGCCTGGAAGGATGCCCAGAAGGTTGTTCTGCTGTTCGGTCTGATTAGCATATTATGCTTTTATTATTATAGATTATAATTTTTACCTTTTTATCTGAAGTATTTTGTAATAAAAAGAAAAATAAATCTCTGTAATGAAAATTGACATATCTGCTTATAAACCCCTGTTAACTTGCTGTCTTATAATACTATTATTGTCTGGCTCCAAACTACTTCTCTGAACTGCAGGGAACTTCAATATCTCATCTAAAATTAAATATGAGCAATCAAATTCAGTACAATTTGAAAAACATTTAAGGAAAAATCTGCCACAATCAAATAGAACCTATCCTAGGAATAAAAGTAAGGTTTAAAATTAGAAAAATGTGTTATATCTCAGTCTGTTAGATAAGAAAAAGAATAAAAATATGCAGAGAAAATCAGCACACAAAGAATGGTTGCTGTTGTTTAATATGTTGTTGTTTTTTAATGATTTGAGAGAGAGAGGAAAGGAGCTGGGGTAGGGTTGGGGGGAGAGACAGAGGGAGAGAAACAGAGACATTGATGTGAGAGAGAAACATCGATCGGTTGCCTCCCATACCCACCAACAGGATAAGCCCAAAACCTGGGTATGTGCCCTGACCAGGAATCAAACCAGAGATCTTTCAGTGCATGGGATTATGTTCAGTCAGCTGAGCCACACAGGCCAGGGCCATAGTTTTTTGGTGTGTTTGTTTTTAGCTATGAAAATTAAATGCTTCGTTAACATAAACAGTATTTCAATCTGTACAATCAACATTATGTCCAAAGATGAAGCACTGGAGTCATCTTCTAATGGGAGCAAAACAAGTAAAGCAACTCTATTATTTCTTATAATTCTGGAAGTTCTAGCTATGTGTAATAAGATGAGAGACAAATAAGAGTCACCATTTTGAGAAAAGGGCTCTCATTATTATCGACATTATAGAAGCCTCCAAAATAACCGAAAATCTGTTAATGAGTTCATTCAGTGAGACAGCTGAACACATAACGAAGATACCAAAGTGAAAAGCTTTCCTATATATAGGACTAACTGGTTAGAAAAATTAATGGGATAAAAGAATCCTATCCATAAATAGCAAGCTTAACAAGAAACATGTAGGACTCCTTTAGAAAAGTCAAAATTGTACTAAATCTACTTAAATTTTTTTATCCTAATACTGTAATAGGATAAAGTTGCAAACAACCTAGTAAATGTCCAACAAAAGGAAAATGGTTTGTTATTTATATACTGTCCTGTTCCAAAATTATTTTAAGGTAGCTTTCACAATATAAACTGACTTAAAATTAAGTGAAGAATTCAGGTAAAGATAAATTTGAGGGATGGACCACAGACTTTATTCTGAGTGTTGTAGCAGCCAAAGTAAGGAAATGATCATGATTAATTTTACAATTCATATTTATACCATAAAATATCGAGTTGATTGGAAGAAACAGCTGTTCCTGGTACTGAGACCAGAGTGTTCTCATGGTTCCCCCAAAGAAGATAACTGCTGTGTAGAGAATTATCATTTTGATAACCTAATGCAGCAAACAGCGCCCGACTTCGTAGAGCTGTTTCTTTTTTTTAATATATTTTATTGATTTCTACAGAGAGGAAGGGAGAGGGATAGAGAGTCAGAAACATCGATGAGAGAGAAACATCGATCAGCTGCCTCCTGCACATCCCCCACCGCAACCAAGGTACGTGCCCTTGACTGGAATCGAACCTGGGATCCTTCAGTCCACAGGCCGACACTCTCTCCATTAAGCCAAAGCAGTCAGGGCTCATAGAACTGTTTCTTACTGAACTCCTTGCTAAGGGGCCGCACAGAACCAAGCTCTAACAGTTTGGTAAAGAGTATTTGCAGTGGAGGGAAGAATGTGTGACGGTTACGGCTAGGATAGACATGAAGGTAATTCAGTGCACTCTGAGGGGGGCAGCTCTATGGAGGAATACATTGTAGAGACTAAAATTGTGGTCCTCAGCTGAGGTGTTGTTTACCCTGGTGTCCTGTGACTCCACAGATTGGCCACACTGAATTTTTATCAATGTGTTTATTTTTGCTATAGTTGAGGGTCCACACTGCTAAGAAGTCTAGAATATGAATGCACAAGTCACCAGGGAGGCCAGGCAAGGAGGCATGAAGTGCTACTTAGGCTGGCAATAAAAAGAATTTCACGTGGATGGACTGAACAGTTTCTGTAAACATTCTCTAAAATTAGATTTGGTAAGTACTGTGTAGAACAAGTAGGTTGTTTCTGTCAGATATAGGTTCAAATGTTTTAATAGTTGACTAATGGAATTAACCTCTGATGAGGTAAGATACTAGAAGGCTAGCTTACCTAAAGATTTCCTTAAAACACAATTTAAGGTTTGATCCAGCACATGTTGGAAAGGGCAGTGAAGGTTTCCAAATTCCTACATAGTAGAGCATAGCCACATTAATATTAAATTTGGAAGAATTGATTTGTAAAAAATGAATGATACTGCCCTGGCTGGTCGCTCAGTGGTTAGAGCGTCGACCCATGGACTGAAGGGTCATGGGTTGGATTCCCGGTCAAGGGTATGTACCTGGGCTGCAGGGGCACATGTGGGAGGCAACCAATCGATGTGTCTCTCATATTGATGTTTCTCTCTCTCTCTCGCTCTCTCTCTCTCTCTCTCTCTCATTTTCCCCATCTCTCTCCCCCTCCCTTCTACTCTCTCTAAAAAATCAATGGAAAAAATATCCTAACTCCTTGAGTGAGGATTAAAAAAAAACAAAAGAAAATAGAATTATACCAAACCTTGACCTAAATAACAGCAAAAAAGAAAAAGTAAGATATCCATATAACTTCCTGGCAAATCCTTCAAGGTAAATGGTGACCAAGTAGATAGTAACCAGGGTGGTTTGGGAAGGTTTATATATGAGTTCCAGTTTTACTTTTCTTTGAGCCTCAAGTTTTTTCATCTGCAAAATAAGGGTGTTAGTACTTACTTTAGGACCTACCAGTTGGTAAGATTTAAATCTAATAGAATCCCTGGTAGCCTCCTCTAAGCCATTTTGTGTATGTGGTATGCTTTTATTACTAGAGGGTCCTTGTCTGATGATTCACTAGAAGACAAGGTTTATGGAGCAGGAAAAACCAAGATGGCGGCATAGGTAAACACCGGAGTTAGCTGCCTCGAACAACCACTTCACAAATACAACTAAAAGACGGAACGAACATCGCCTAGAACCACAGGAAGACTGGCTGAGGGGAAATTCTTCAACTAGAAGGAAAGAGACCAGCATACAGCCTCCTCCTCAGAGGAGGCGCAGTGCGGAAAATACAAAGGTGCAGAGGTACGCGTGAAGCGGGCTGATGGCTGAGGGCGCGGTTGTCGTTTTCAATCGGGAGGGAGTCTCAGATTCTGAGCTCCAGTTCTGGGCGAGTCTCTAGGGACCCAGACTCAAACGGGAGAAGCGGGACTGTCTGGCATCGGTCGGAACTCGAAGGCAGCTTTCTCTCCGAGGTTTGCAGCGGTTGCTGGGACTCTGAGAGGCAGAGCCTCTGGGGACAGGACTGAGAGCAGCCATAACTGCTCCCTCCGCCCGCCCTGTTGATCCCGTGCAACACGCCCTACCCAAGCCCTGCGCAGAGCCATTTGCCGGATAGCTTCAGGCAAAGGCTAGATTAGCACCTCCCTAGAGGACAGAAGTTTTCCCAATGCAGACACAGCTGATTCTCACAGCCAGTTGGCCTGGAGGTCAAATCCCCCTAGTATTAACTACAACAATCAAGGCTTAACTACAACAAGACTGCGCACAAAGACCACTAGGGGGTGCACCAAGAAAACATAAAAAAAATGCGGAGGCAAAGAAACAGGACAAAATTGTCAATGGAGGATATTGAGTTCAGAACCACACTTCTAAGGTCTCTCAAGAACTGTCTAGAAGCCGCCGATAAAGTTATTGAGATCCTCAAGAAATCTAATGAGACCCTCGATGTTGTGATAAAGAACCAACTAGAAATTAAGCATACACGGACTGAAATAACGAATATTATACAGACTCCCAACAGCAGACCAGAGGAGCGCAAGAATCAAGGCAAAGATTTGAAATGCGAAGAAGCAAAAAACACCCAACCAGAAAAGCAAAATGAAAAAAGAATCCGAAAATACGAAGATAGTGTAAGGAGCCTCTGGGACAGCTTCAAGCGTACCAACATCAGAATTATAGGGGTGCCAGAAGATGAGAGAGAGCAAGATTGTGAAAACCTATTTGAAGAAATAATGACAGAAAACTTCCCCTACCTGGTGAAAGAAGTAGACTTACAAGTCCAGGAAGCGCAGAGAACCCCAAACAAAAGGAATCCAAAGAGGACCACACCAAGACACATCATAATTAAAATGCCAAGAGCAAAAGACAAAGAGAGAATCTTAAAAGCAGCAAGAGAAAGAAACTCAGTTACCTACAAGGGAATACCCATACGACTGTCAGCTGATTTCTCAACAGAAACTTTGCAGGCCAGAAGGGAGTGGCAAGAAATATTCAAAGTGATGAATGCCAAGAACCTGCAACCAAGATTACTTTATCCAGCAAAGCTATCATTCAGAATTGAAGGTCAGATAAAGAGCTTCACAGATAAGGAAAAGCTAAAGGAGTTCATCACCATCAAACCAGGATTATATGAAATGCTGAAAGGTATCCTTTAAGAAGAGGAAGAAGAAGAAAAAGGTAAAGATACTAATTATGAACAGAATGAACTGGTGATTATAATAGAATCAGGGACATAGAAAGGGAATGGACTCACTATTCTTGGTGGGGAAAGGGGTGTGGGAGATGCGGGAAGAGACTGGACAAAAATTGTGCACGTATGGATGAGGACAGTGGGGGGTTAAGGGTAGAGGGTGGGGTGGAAACTGGGTGGAGGGAAGCTATGGGGGGGGGGAAAGAGGAACAAATGTAATAATCTGAACAATAAAGATTTACAAAAAAAAAAAAAAAAAACAAGGTTTGCTGAGACACTGTAGATAAGACCTTTTAAATTACTTCATTGATTGGTGGGGCAATCAGATTCTTTCCTTTCAGGTGTCTGAGGTGGAATTTTAAAAAGTTATGAGATAACATTTGAAAGCCCTTTGTTTAGCCTTACCCCTCTCATCCTGATCATCTCTCAAGTCCAACCAATATGAATATAAAAGGAGATACCTCTGCAGTTTAAAGGAAAAATTTTTAATTGTGATAATAAAATGTATTCTCATGTGTAAATGTTTAGGTATGACCATACTGGAAGGCATAAAGAAATAATCAGAAGCTTTTACCAAGATATAGAATCACCTAGAATATAGACAGATGCAGACTGTCAAGTGTATTAGCATTACTCTCAGTGATGTGGTTTTCAGAAATGGTAAACACATCTTGGTAAAGATCTGAACAAAACAAAGTACAACCTTCTTATGACTTACATGGAAGTTCTCTTCCTAGAAAATTTAGCATTTATTAAAACCACGTTAAATTTACTTTGTGTTTATAGGTAAAACTGTGTTAGGCACTAGGCTGAGATAAATATTTAAAGGTCCCATGGCAGATCTTCACTATGCAGAAACTGCCCACTAAAATGTTACAGGACACTCCACATGCCTGGCCTCTGCAAGGGGACTTACTGATCATGACAACAAAGACCCCAGGGGGTGGCTCTGTCCCTATTGGGTAACAGAGCTTTTCATGGTCTTGTTGACCAGATGGTAAAGCATAGAATGGCTGCCTGGCCTCAAGGAGTTCAGATCCATTGGACAAGCTTGCCACTGGAAGGGATGTTCCTAGCGGCTTCCCTACACCTCTACGGAGAGTACCGAAAGCTATTGGACATGGGTTATATTTTTCTTCCAATTTTATTGCACTGTAACTGACATAACATTGTAAAAGTTTAAGATGTTCAACTGATATATTTATATACTGCAAAATGACTTCTGTAATAAATTAGTTAACATCCATCACTTCACATAGTTTTTTATGGTGTTGAGAACTTTTAAGATATACTCTCTTAGCAGTTTTTAAATATACTAGTATAGTTAATTGTAGTCACTATATTGCACAGTATATCTTTAGAACTTATTTCTCTTATGTTTAGAAGTTTGTACCTTTTGACCATCTTTACCTGTTTCCCCCTTGGGCATTGGTCATTAAAATGACTATTTGGATTAGCTGTCCTATTAAGCTGCTTTCCAACCCTAACATTTTCTATTTCTCAATAATGTTTTTTTACTTTTCTTTTTTTTTTTTTTTTTAATATAGTATATTGATTTTTTACAGACAGGAAGGGAGAGGGACAGAGAGTCAGAAACATCGATGAGAGAGCAACATCGATCAGCTGCCTCCTGCACACTCCCCACTGGGGATGTGCCCCCAACCAAGGTACATGCCCTTGACCAGAATCGAACCCGGGACCCTTGAGTCCGCAGGCCGATGCTCTATCCACTGAGCCAAACTGGTTAGGGCACTTTTCTTGTTTTTGTTTTAATAAGAAAATGTAATTGCATTGAAGTGTTAAATAATAATGCTTAGTACCATTATGATTGTTTTCTGTGCCCCTTCCCATTCGAAACCCTCAGGGTAAGAAGGCTTGTTCTTTCTCTGAGCTCAGCCAGTTTAGGCCCTACCTTTCCTGTGGGGAGACCCCGGTAGAGCTGACTGTCCCTTGCCTCCACTGGGTCTTTAGAAGAGCTCCAGCCCAAGAACCAGCGTCTTTGGCATCCTGCTCAGTCCGCAGTAGCAGTCTCCTCCACAATTGCCCAGCATCACATGTCAGATAAAAAGAAAGTGAGGATAGGCCAGGAGAGATGTGTTTATGAAAGTTTTTGTTGTTACCCTGTTTGAGTCTCTTCTCTTAGGAATCCACTCCTAAAGGTTTGCAATTGAATTTTAACTTGTCTAATACCAAGTTTTATTTTTTATTTAAGGCTATTTCTGATGCTTGGAAGCTATCCTTTCAGCCACAAAGATGGTAATAAATCTTTGCCTCCCACCGTTCAGACCAAGAATTTCATGCAACAAGGTAAACAAAAGAAGTATATACACATAAATAAATTCACTATATCTGTTTTTCATGTGGTTTTTTCCCCCCACTTCCTGTGAACTTAAGTCAGGCTTAATGTGCTTTCACAAACCTCGTTGTTTTAGATTCCACCAGGTGGTATTGAGATAAGATTGGGTCAGGCTGCACCTATAGAGTCAGACAGTACCATTGCAAGGTGAGCTGTGACTCATTTTGTGGATATTGTATTCATTGTGATGATAAATTTTAATTTTACTCAAAGTCAGTTACGGTTAGAAACACTCGTCCTCCTCTTTCTCACCCCCCTGTTCTTACCATTTCAAATGCTAGGAATAATGGCTTGTATTTTTTATTTGTATTCCTTGTTCTTCTTCTTCTTTTTTTTTTGTCTTACTGCCTTTATTCCTTGTTCCTTTAAAAAAAAAAAAATCCCTTAGCTTTTAAAAAAAAACACAGGGAAGAGGGAGAAATAGAAACATCAATGATGAGAGAGAATCACTGATCGGTTACCTCCTGCACGCCCCCTACTGGGGATCGAGCCTGCAACCTGGGCTTGTGCCCTTGACTGAAATCGAACCCGGGACCCTTCAGTTGGCAAGCCAACATGCTATCCACTGAGCCAAACTGGCTAGGGCTTCCTTGTTCTTTACATGAATTAAGCTGCCTCCCCTTTTGTACAAGGAGGGTGTGTTTTCACAGCTCAGAGCAGTGGATAAGGAAGTTCAAAGGGGAGAATTGAACCCCTCCCTTAATTTGGAGTTTCTGCACTCAGCGTACTATTTTAGGTTCCCAGATTGTTAAGGTGGCTCCTTCGGACGAAGATATCTTAAAATTTCCATTGGTTATAACAAGTATTAGAAATATTAAAAGTTGAAGAGGTTATTTACAGTCCTATCTTTTGCACATGCACCGTTTTAAATTTCCCATTATATTTTGTGATCTTTGTCCATGTGCGCACATTTTTTTAAACCAAGTTCCATCATTTATAGATTTACAAGAAGCTTGTTTGTTATGCCTTCCTAGGGACCTTGTTGTAATGGGTAGTCTAAATACAAAATTAAGAACTTTAATGAACATCTTTTTCCCCCCTAAATATGCATGTTTTCATTTTCTGAAATAAAAAATTACTAATTTATATGCCCTCTTTCCACAGAGATGTTATTTTCAAGGGATTTTGGCTGGGTTGGGCAAAGTTTTCTTGCTCCTATTTTTTAAGAATAGACAGTACTTGGGGGATACTGTTGCCCTCATATGGGGTGCCTATAAAAAAAACACAGAATTTGAAGTAATTGAGGAAATTTTAAAATGAGGAACTTCAGGTTTTCTTTAAAAATTTTTCTTAGAAGTGGCAAATTCTTGGAAACTAGTTGTCTTCATTTGGATCTCATCAAATCAATTTGTCTCATATTTGTCATTAAATCTAGATATCAGCTGATGGCTATGAAGTAGAAAATCTCATCTCTGAAGACCTCACAAAGAGAAGTCGTGGTTTTAGGACGGAGTATTTTATTAAGCCACCAGTCTATGTGACTGTTTCCTTTCCCTTCAGTGTGGAAATCTGTAGGATTAACATAGACCTCACAGCTGGGGGAGGCCAAAATGTAACTGGCCTGGAAATGTACACGTCCGCCTTATCCAACAGAGCATCTTGGAATACCTCTGAGTGCCAGACACTGGGCTCAGCTGAGCCATCCGTCCCAGACAAGGAGGCGTTCACCTTGGTAGGCAAAGTGTTGTTGAAAAACCAAAACCAGGTGGTGTTTAGCCACAGGGGCTTCAAGGCCAGGCCACCATTTGGCCCGATAGAAGCCACACTCCCCTCCCCTACTATTGTGGCCCAGGAACTCTGGAATAAAGGACCTCTTTCCCTTAACCATGTGGCCCATCTCAAGATCTGTATCACCCACGTGACAGGCAGTGGAATCCCTTGCATCAAGCGGTTGGAAGTGTGGGGTCAGCCCGCCAAAACCTGCTCTCAGGAGGTAATAGATGGTGTCCTGCTGGTTGCCTCCAAAAGCCTCTCCCAGGACTTGGCTCTGCAGGTACCGGCCTTGCCCATGGAGAGTGACTGTGACCCTGGGGGTGAGTCTGGGGGCCAGCAGGCTCCCTCCAGCCTGCAGGAGCTGGCTGAGGTATTTCAGGATGTGCCTGAGGAGTTCCTGGATCCCATCACCTTGGAGATCATGCCTTGCCCCATGCTCCTGCCCTCAGGCAAGGTCATCGACCAGGCCACACTGGAGAAGTGTAACCGCAGTGAAGCCACATGGGGCCGAGTGCCCAGTGACCCTTTCACAGGGGTAGCCTTTACTCCACACTCCCAGCCCCTGCCTCACCCCTCCCTGAAGGCCCGGATCGACCATTTCCTGCTCCAGCATTCCATCCCCGGCTGCCACCTGCTTGGGAGAGCACAGACTACATTGGCATTGACCCCTTCTTCCGTTGCTCTGCCATCTCGGAAAAGGAAGATGGAGCAGGCTGAGGATGCCCCAGACAGTAGTAGCCTTGATGTAAATGCTTCCGGTTTTCCTGCCACAAGCCTGGTCTCACCCACTACCTCAGAGCACACTGCTAAGAAAATGAAAGCTGCCAGTGAGCTTGGTCCGACACACATGGACTGCTCAACAGGTAACCCACCGCCCTATGTCCATGCCGGTTGTCATCTTTACTCCTCCCAGGTGACACTTGGCACCATTGCCCTTTGTTTTTGCCTTGTCAGCTTAAATTACCCCAAATCTTACTGGCTTAAAGTACCACCCAGTCACCTCACAGCCCCTCTAGTCAGGAATCAAGGTGTTGCTTGGCTGGATTGTCTGCTTCAGGCTCTTCCGAGCTACTGTCAAAGTGCTGGTGGGGCTGTAGTCAGCACAAGGCTTCACTGGGGAAGGATTCCCTTCCAAGCTCACTCACATGGTTGTTTAGGAAGCGGTTCCCTGCTGAACTGTGGCCCTGGAGGCTTCACTTCCTTGTTGGCTGGTGATCGGAGACTACACTCTGTTTCTTGCCATGTGGGCCTCAAGGGCAGCACACAGCATGGCAGCTGTGTGCACAAGGGTGTGCAAACAAGGTGGGAGTTGGCTTTGAATAATCTCACCATGGAGATGACATCCCATCGCTTTTGCTGTATTTTGTGAAAAACAAGTCACTAAAGTCTAGCTCACTCTAAGGGGAGGGGGGATCCAAGGGCCCGAGGTGGAGTTCACGGATCATTTCAGATCCTCTTCCACACCGTCTGTTCCTGTTTTAGTCACTGTGTTGATCTAAGACTGGTGGTTGAATTTCGTCTAATGCCTTTTCAGTATCAATGGAGATTAATTGTAATTTTTTATCCTTAGGTTTTTAATGTGAGAAAGCACACTAACAGACTTCTAAATATTGAACCATTGTTACATTCCTGGAGTAAACTCCATTTGGTCTTGCTTCTTTTAGTGGGCTGCTTGATTCTGTTTGCTAGTGTTTAATTTAGGATTTTTGCATTCATTGGTGAGACTGGACTGTAATGTGTGTGTGTGTGTGCGTGTGCATCATATTTGTTCAGGTTTGGTATGGATGATTTATTTGCTTCATAAGACAAATTAGAAGTTTCTTTTTCTAATCTCTGGAACAATTTAATATTCAGATCACTTACACTGTTTTTGTTTGTTTGTCAGTCCTCACCAGAGGATATTTTTTCCATTGATTTTTAGAGAGTGGAAGGGAGGGAGTGTGGAGGGAGAATGAGAGAGAGAGAGAGAGAGAGAGAGAGAGAAAGAGAAAGAGAGAAAAATAGAGAAACATCTATGTGAAAGAGACACATTGACTGGTTGCCTCCCGCACACACCCTGACTGGGCCTGGGATCAAACCTGCAACTCAGGTACGTGCCTTTGACCAGGAATTGAACCTGCAAGCCTTCGGTGCTCAGGCTGGTGCTGTAACCACTGAACACCACTACCCAAGATACATAATTTACTCTGTACATGTTTGGTATTATCCCTGTGATGGTCAGTGCCTGGTGCTTTGGCAGCTAGCTCTTTGACAATATTTTCTTTTTCTTTGTGAAAATTCATCAGTGTAGACTTTATTCTTTTAATTTCCTCTCTTACTCTAAAAATCCTTTGCAAGTAGCGCACTTAAAGGTTATACCTGTGTCTCTGTTTTTGAGTGTAAATTATAGTTAACACGGCCCCCAGAAACTCCTGGAAGCATCTGAAGTGTGATGGGCGAGACCAGGAGAAAGGTTTTTAGACCTGGATGTCTGTGGGGGTCTCCACTGGTGTTGGCCGTGGCAGATTTGTTGGTGCCACAGAACCATGCTGACCAGTGGTCCTTGAAGGTTCCAAGCTGATGTCCTTGTCCTATAAAGTATAGACCAAAATAATTCCCTCTCCACTTTGGGCAGTTTTGTGAACCAGACAGGTGTCTGAGCCCTTCCTTGGGCAGCTCCCCCCTCCACCCATGGCCTTCATCTTGTGCCCATTGCTTGGCTTTCTGAAGACCACACAGAGAAGGCCCTCGATGGTGCAGTGACAGAGTGAGATCTTCCTTGTCCCACTCAGTAATAACTGCTTTGCTTTACCCAACAGGAGAGCGTGCAGGCCAGCATCCCTGCAGAGCTGCGGGGTCTCCAGAGGGGAGGAGATGGAAAGAGCGGATTAAGGCTGCTGGGGAGGGAGAGCAGGGGTACAAGGCTGCATGTTTGCTGGCTGCAGTCATTTCCTTGCCCACAGGGAGGCCTTCAGAAAGTAGGGTGCAGTTCTGCAGGGGAGCCACAAGGTGGCCCCGACCTGCCCAGCAGTTGTCCGGAGGAGGAAAGCTGGTACAGGGCCCATGGTGTGGGTGGGTAGCAACTGCCAGGGTCCCCATTGGGATGTATTCTGCCATCACAACCCACCAGTGGACATCGGAGGACTTTCCTTACATTGTGTCTGTTTGAAGTTGGAAGTGCTGTTTTTGTAGACCTCAGTGGACTTGGTGTTTTGGTCTTTTTTTTTTTTGCCAAACCTCTCTCTGGATATTGTTGTCAACAGGGCCAGTGTCCCATGAGCAGAAGCTGTCACAAAGCTTGGAAATTGCCTTGACATCCACCCTTGGCTCCATGCCCTCCTTCACGGCGCGGCTGACCAGGGGACAGCTCCAACACCTCGGCACAAGGAGGACCAGCACTTCCTGGAGGGCAGGCACTGGCCCGGGTAACATGGGTCCCGTCCACCTCCTCGGAGTCCTTGAATGGGGTGCTGAGCCATAACCCCGGGGCTCTCTGGCCCTTCATGCCCAGTTTCTTAGCTCCAATACCCAGGCCTCTTTCCTTCTCCAGCGGGGAGCTGATGGACAGGCCTGTGAAGTTTGACTCTTCACAAGAAGAGCTTTCTTTAGGCAACTCTTAGTAATTCTGTGGAGTAGATACCCTGCTGTGTTATTTATTTATTTATTTTTTTGCGTAAGGTTTATTATTAATTGTCTGTCCTGAGGACTTTTGTTTGTTTCTCCTCTTTAGTGTATTTTTCTTATCTAGTTTGTCTCCCCTCTGACCTCTGGGGTATTGTATGTAAGTGTGAAGTTTGGGGTTGAGTATGCCACCTTCATTCTTTCCTATTAACATTTTCTTAGTCTTAGAAAAGAACAGTGGTAGCTTACTGAGCCAATTTTTGCCTAAAATGAACCTGGGACCACACTGGATACTGGAATTGATTAGGATATAAATGGAGGGCCTGACTGGGATGCCGGGGCATCTTCTCCAGGATGAAACCTGGTGGGGCTAATGGTAGGGCGCACACTTCTTCCTCCTGCCCGTCCAGAACCCGGCTCTCCTCTGCTCTCTGGGCCGCAGGTCATCGCTTCTGCCTTCGTCCCGAGCTCCTCTCTGATTGTTTCCGTCCTGACCATTCCCCAAAACTTATCTTGTCCAAATGACCAGCATTTCCACGTCCATAAATAAAATGGTCACTGATCCTCTGCACAATATCTGATGTGGCTGATCAGCCCCTCCTTTTTTTAAAAAAAAATATGGAACACTTCCATATTTAAATTTGCGTGTCATCCTTGCGCAGGGGCCTGCTAGTCTTCTCTGTATCGTCCCAATTTTAGTAGATGTGCTGCTGAAGCGAGCACACCCCTTCTCGAAACACCTTCTCTCTTGGCCTCCTAGACGTTACACTCTTTTTCTCCCCATTTCAGTGATCCCTCCTCAGTTCCCATTGCTGACTCTCCTCTTCAGTACTCTAGTCCTGGACCCTCTTCTCTCTGTCCTCTTTGTCACCCAAGTGAGAGCCCACTGGCCAGTGGCTGCCCATGTTCACCTATAGCTTTGATCTTTCCTGGAACTCAGACCCCGACCTCCCTAACAGCTGCTTGACGCCTCCACGTGGAAAACTCATGGACTTAACTGAGTGAACTTAACTGAGAACAGCTCCAAAGGTTCTCCCACCCACATCCCCTCCCACACCATTGAGGGCAAAGAGCAGCATCTTTTTTTTTTTTAATATATTTTATTGATTTTTTTACAGAGAGGAAGAGAGAGGGATAGAGAGTTAGAAACATCGATGAGAGAGAAACATCGATCAGCCGCCTCCTGCACGCCTCCCACTGGGGATGTGCCCGCAACCCAGGTACATGCCCTTGACTGGAATCGAACCTGGGACCCCTTAGTCCGCAGGCCGACGCTCCAGCCACTGAGCCAAACCGGTTAGGGCAAGAGCAGCATCTACCATTTGGTCAGGCCTACAACACGCAGGCCATCCTTAGTTTTCCTTCAGTGTCCTCACACTGACGCTCTCTTCATCATCGTCTTGTTCATACTCCTCCGGAGGAGACCTCAGCGTGGTCCTCTGCTCCACTGCCTTCCTGCTGTGCTCTCCGGGCTCCTGTGGCAGCCCCGCTACTTCCTAACAGCCACGCTTTCCCTGCCATAGCCCGCCATCCTCATGGAAGCTAGGTCATTCTCTTCCACTTCTTAGAATTCTTCCATCGCATCCCATTGAACTTGGAATAAATGGAAACTCTTGCTGCCTGTGAGGTCCTGCATGCTCCAGCCCCTGCCCTCCCTGCTCTGCCATCTCATCTGGAGCCACCCTCATGCCTCACACCCCTCTGTCTTTCTCTGATGGACCAGCCATTCTTTGTCCTTGCTGTCTCGTTCACTCTTTGCATGGCTGGCCTCTTTTCGTTCCTATGGCCCTTCCCTAAGAGGCCACCCTTTCCCTCTCCAGAGGTGTGTGGATTGGAAGAGAAAGAACAGCCTCCTTAGGCAAGGCCATGAGAGAAGGAAGAACAGGTGCAGCTTGGGGCAGGGGGTGGTGGGCACCTGCCCACTGTGGCTCTCATTCAGGAGTCCCTTTGGGAAGTGTGGAAGGAGAGAAAGCCAGCAGACAGGGAGGGGATGATGGCTGGGGAGGGAGCTGCCAGGCTGCAGGGCTGAAGAGAAGCAGGTCCCAGGCTCAGCTGGCAGGTCTGCTGCCAACAGACCTCAGCTCTGCTCTCTAGTGACTTCTCTACACCCTTGACCTGCCCAACCCTAACACACAGGAGCATTTTCTGCCTTTTCCTTTACTTATCACACCTCACCTTGTAATTTATCAAGGTTGTCAGCGTGAGTTTGTGCCTTGCTCGCCTTGGGAGCCTATCCCAAGGGAAAGTGCATCTTGGGAGACTGGGACGAAGGGCCCAGCGCTACCTGGCTCCCCTGAGAAGCCAGCTCTTTTTGAGCATTTATGGGAACACCGAGATTTGATGATCTCGTGGAGGCCTTCCAGCTTCCCCAGCTCCCTGGACCTCTGCTCTCAGATCAGCCAGAGGTGGCCTAGGGAGGGGTGCAGCCAGACTGCTGCAGGGGTAGAGGGTGGGGCAGCTTCTCTCCCACTCCAGGCATGTGCCCTGCCTCCAGGATGGAGCCTGGACTAGGCGCAGCTTTCCCTAACCCTGTCCTATTTTCCTCCCTGATTTATCAGAGCAGCCTGGGAGTGTCCTGGGTCCCGAGTGTGCCTCCTGCAAAAGAGTATTTTCTTCCTACTTCAAAAAGGAGCCCGTGTACCAGCTTCCCTGTGGCCACCTCCTATGCCGGCCCTGCCTGGGTGAGAAGCAGCGCTCCCTGCCTATGATATGCACAGCCTGCCAGCAGCCTTTCACCAGCCAGGACGTGCTGCGGGTCCACTTCTGAGTGACTGGCCTCAACCCAGGAAGACCTTTTGTTGGGAGGAACAGAAGTGGGGGTCATAGCTCCCTGAGATCTGGCCAAGGCCCAGGCACAGAGGGGCCTCTTGGTTCCCAAGGGCTTTCCCTTTATTGCCTCCCACAGTGTAGCACAGGCCTGGAGTGAGGGGTGGGGGAGGGGCCCCTCCACTCCAGCTCAAGTGGCAATAGGATAACAAAGCCATACTTTGGGCTGGGAGGGCTGGGGGAGATGTTGCTGCCCTCTTGTACCTCCCTGCCACCCCCCTTTCTGCCAGAGCCCAGGGCCTGCTTCAGCCAGCCCCACCCTGCTGAGGGCCCCCAAGTTATTTGCATACACGCACACACACAAACACACACACACACACACACATGTGCATGTGGGGCGGGGGGGGCCTCCCCCCCATCCTGCAGGGTGGATGTGCATGGAGCACAGTTGTGTGTGGCTCGGGGTCTCAGAGATTGCCTCTACCTTCAGTGTCACCCAAAAGTGGAGTGAATGACTCAGCCCCCAACTGGCAGACTGCGTGGAGCCTTAATAAAGTGATTGCTGACATCTGCTGTGGGCTTCCTCCTGATGGACTGCCTGCCTGTCGTCACACTCCTGTCCCCTCCCGCACCCATACAAAGTGGAGTTGTCACAGGGCCGCCGTCAGCAGTCACTGCCCCCCAGGCAGGCTGTAATTCGGTCAGATGCGTGCTGTGGGAGGGTTGGCAGGTGGGGTGTGGGTGGGGAGGGAGGGGGAGCCCCTCCTGGGGCTGGCTGCTGCCCTCTGAGGGGAAAGGTGCTTTTCCTGCCGGGGCCCATTTCAGGAAAACGACTCATTTGTAGCTGCAGTTTGTTTTTCCGTTCAGAATTTAGTTTTGTGGAGTCGCAGAGGGAAAATACGTATTCTTACAATTGTTTACTGTACGGAGTAGATCTAGTCACTAGGAAGGTCGGTGAGAAACTACACCATGCTTTTCCCTCTTCTGCGCGTGCCTGGGGAGGAGCAGCGCCCAGCGGCTCCACGCACATACGTCATCCTGGAGATTCCCTCGCCGGCTCCCGTGGACGGGCTGGGCCTCCACGCCCAGGGCTCTGAGCTGCCTCCCCTCCCGCAGCCTGCACCTGAGGGCACCTGAGGGCTGGAGGCTGGCATTCTCTCTGGTTTTTAAGCTTTGCACATGGCCAGAACTCCAGTCCTTACACTGAACTTTATAAAAAAATTCAGCTTCTTGGACTGCAGTCCAGATCCAAGATTTAGAGATCTGGGGTTGGGGTTCAGGAATCTGCTTGTTAAAGAGTTCCTGGGGATTTGTGTGTCTCAAAGGTGGCTGCATCCTTCCCTCTGCCTCCTGCTGGCGCTTCCCTTGAGACGTCGGGTCTGCACTGGTGGCCGATGAGGCTCCATGTGCCCTTGGCTTTCAGAGTCTAGGCCATTCCAGAGTCTTGCCTTACCCTCCTTCGTGCTTGTGTTCTAGGAAAAGCCCCAGCATTTGTAGCAAAACCACTGGGGGTGGGGTGGGGGTGGATTTTCAGCCTGTCTCAGTCTCGGGGAACAGCTCTGCTCCCACCAGCAGGTTGACAGTCTCAGGGAGCCCTGCTCTCTGGGGTTGCCCTGTTTGCCCCACCAGGAGCCAGGGGAAGCCACCAGCCTAAAGCATGCTCAGATGAGGGCAGAGCTGCCTCCCATCCTGCAGGGCCTGGTGGGAAATTGGGCGTGGGAGCCACTGGACTGGACAGTTCCTGTTCTCTGACCAGGTGGAGCCGCACCTACATCCTTGGAGATGCACTCATTCTCACCTCATTTTTTAAAATATATTTTATTGATTTTTTACAGAGAGGAAGGGAGAGGGATAGAGAGTTAGAAACATCGATGAGAAACATCGATCAGCTGCCTCCTGCACACCTCCCACTGGGGATGTGCCCGCAACCAAGGTACATGCCCTTGACCGGAATCGAACCTGGGACCCTCAGTCCGCAGGCCGACACTCTATCCACTGAGTCAAACCAGTTAGGGCCTCACCTCATTTTAAAGGGCCCCCCAAAGGAAGTGGTGATTGCACCACCCTTGCCAGAAACACACTGAGCACTGCCGGGCTCCATTTCTCTCCCCTAGAAAATGGGAATAACCTTTCTCCTGCCAGCTCGGTTCAGAGACAGTTTATTTCTCCCAAGAGCCCGGAGCCAGGCCCAAAGCGGCAAACACAAGGACTCCACGGACTCAGAGACGCAGGGCTGCACAGCCTCGACGTGACCCTCGCCCCAAGGCAGGTTCTGTGGGACACCTGTCTCCCCCGCTCTTCTGTATCATTTTCTCAACACAAGCCTGTTGGGGGCACGCAGCCCTGGGCCCTCGGAGAGCAGGAGGCTGGGCACGGCCCCCGAGGCGTTGAGGGGTAGGGCGCTGGTGCTCATCCCCACGGTGCAGAGTGAGGCCTGGCCTGCATCCTGACCGTCCTTCCTGTGGGCCAAAGGCCCCAGCCCTTTGGGACTGTCCGTCCTCACTCACGGGGGCTGGGCCACGCATGTTCTCTGCTGCTGCTCTCCAGCTGGAGCAGACAGGAAGGAGGGCTGCTCAGAAGTAGTCCTAGAGGTAGAAGACGTAGAAGAACCAAACTGCTAAGAAGAAGAGGAGGAGCTGCTCAGTGCTCACAGAGTATTCCACCTCCTGGCAGTCAGGCCCCGGGCCTGCTCCTGGGTCCCGGGCAGAGCGGGTGCCCATCCCCACGCCCGGCCTCCTCCTCCAGAGCGGGTGCCCCGTCCCCACGCCCGGCCTCCTCCTCCAGAGCGGGTGCCCGTCCCCGCGCCCTGCCTCCTCCTCCAGAGCGGGTGCCCGTCCCCACGCCCGGCCTCCTCCAGAGCGGGTGCCCGTCCCCGCGCCCGGCCTCCTCCTCCAGAGCGGGTGCCCGTCCCCGCGCCCGGCCTCCTCCTCCAGAGCGGGTGCCCGTCCCCGCGCCCTGCCTCCTCCTCCAGAGCGGGTGCCCGTCCCCGCGCCCGGCCTCCTCCTCCAGAGCGGGTGCCCGTCCCCACGCCCTGCCTCCTCCTCCAGAGCGGGTGCCCGTCCCCGCGCCCGGCCTCCTCCTCCAGAGCGGGTGCCCGTCCCCGCGCCCGGCCTCCTCCTCCAGAGCGGGTGCCCGTCCCCACGCCCTGCCTCCTCCTCCAGAGTGGGTGCCCGTCCCCACGCCCGGCCTCCTCCTCCAGAGCGGGTGCCCGTCCCCACGCCCGGCCTCCTCCAGAGCGGGTGCCCGTCCCCACGCCCGGCCTCCTCCTCCAGAGCGGGTGCCCGTCCCCGCGCCGGGCCTGCCTCTGGGGCATCTCCAGCTCGAGGCTTCCCAGCTGCTGGATGCTTTCTATTCTGAACCGGCGCTGCCACCTGGGCGGCTGTAAGTAGGTCTGCAGACAAAGAGACCTGCCCGGGAGGAAACGCCTGCCAGGCCACTGCTCACCCCCTGCCTGTGGAATTGTGATGCTTGGTTGGCTGCCATTGTGATGGCCGCTGGGTGGATTGGGGCTGCCGCGGGCTGACCCCCTCCTGCACAGCTGGCCCCTCTGCCTTCTCAGCTTCCGGCCCAGCCTCTCAGCTCGCTGTAGCCTCTCAGGCAGGATGGGTCCTTCCAGATCTAGGAAGGGGAATGGCTAGGTTGAGAAATAGCCAAAGATGCACTATCCCATGTAGTAACAACTAGCCTCATGTGGCTATTTAAATTAGTTTAAATCATGTGGCTATTTAAATTAGTTTAAATTAAATTAAAAGCTCAGTTCCTGAGTCACAGCAGCCACATTTCAAGTACTTAGTAGCCACACCTGCTAGTGATATTCTATTAGACAGCAAGATATAAAACATTTCCCCATCAAAAATAGTCCTGTTGGACAGAGCTGGGCCAAGTAGGAGCATGGTGAGACTGGCCCTTGGTTTTCCTCAGCTCTGTGAACCTGCCTCCTGACAGAGGCTGTAACCCAATCCACCTTGCTGTAATGCATTGCCTCTCGTACAAAGAGGGGCCATGGTCCAGAGGGGTGATAAGATCTCCAGAGTGGCACAGGGATGAGGTGAAGGAGGAAGAGACGTTGGTAAGTTTTCATCACGGTTTATACCAATAGCAAGATGATGCTACCCATCACCATACTAACAAGTGATAACTTCACACAAGAAAAAGATAACCTCACAAACATTTTGGATCTTTTCCCTTCCGATATCTATAATAATAAAAGCACAATATGCTAATTAGACCAGCTATCCTTCCGGACGTCCTTTCAGATGACCTTTCGGATGAAGCCAAGACTTTAGCAGTGGGATCCAGGAAGCCTCTGCGGCTGTGATGGAAGGATCCAGGCAGCCGCTGCAGCTGCGAAGACCTACGCTTGCATGAATTTCGTGCATCAGGCCTCTAGTCTATACTAATAAAAGGGTAATATGCTAATTAGACTGGATATCTTCCGGACGTCCTTTGGGACGAAGCCACGGTGCTGGGGGCCGAGGCAGAGGCGGTTAGGGGCAATCAGACCGGCACGGGAGGGCAGTTAGGGGCGATCAGGCTGGCAGGGGGGAGCAGTTAGGGAGCGATCAGGCTGGCAGGCAGGCAGGCGAGTGGTTAGGAGCGAGCAGTCCCGGATTGTGAGAGGGACATCCCCCAAGGGGTATCGGATTGGAGAGGGTGCAGACCAGGCGGAGAGGCCCCGCTCCCCTATGCACGAATTTTGTGCACCAGGCCTCTAGTTTTATTATAAGGGGGAAATTGTCTATGTGTAACTGTGTGGTTTTGTTGCCTGCTAGTTCCCTTAACATTTCATGGGCATTTCATTAGACACTATTCTTATTATAAAGATCATCTTGAAGAACAAGCCAAAATAATGAGGAACAGTTTGAGCCTAACCCACAAATACATAGGCCAACAAAATGTCTATAAATCCAGAACTAGGTCCGGCTGCACATGGAAATGCAGTGTACTCTGCCCGAGACATTGGCAATGAGCTGGGGAAAGGTGGCCTTTCATAAGTGGTGCTGCAGTCACTGACACCACCTGAGAACCAGAAGGATATGGAAAATGAGGGAATTCCTGAGAGAGAGGAGAAGATCCCTGATTCAAAATCTAGATACATTAAGGCCAAAGACTGATCAATTTGACTATGTCTGAATTTTTTTAAAAAATCTATGTTAATAGAAAAACATAACACCATTACAAAGTAAAAATAAGTTACAAGATTGGGGGGGGGGAATATATATGTGTGTATGTGTATATATATATATACATATATATATATATATGTATATATATATATATACAAATATATATATGTGTATATGTATATATATATATTTTAATCCTCACCCAAGGATATTTTTTATTGATTTTTAGAGAGATTGGAAGAGAGAAGGAAAGACAGAAATATCAATGTGAGAGAAACACATCGTTTGGTTGCCTCCTGCATACAAACATGGCCTGGGCTGAGGAGGAGCCTACAACTGAGGTATGTGCGTTGACCAGAATCAAACCCAGGACCCTTCAGTCTGCAGGCCAATGCTCTATCCACTGAGCCAAACTGGCCAGGGCTGGGGAAATATATTTGTAACTTGTTTTGCAGTGGTTAATATTCCTAACATATAGCTCCTAAAAATAAGAAAGATGCACAAAGAAGTACACATGGTCTTTAGACATGTCAGAAGAAGCCCACCCTTGCTCATGTCTACACTAATAAAAGAGAAAGATGC